TTCCAGTGTCCCCTAGTACAATCCCAATATGATGCCTGTCACTCCTAGTCATTCCCCTTATAATCTCAGATGCCCCCAGTGTGGTTCCAGTCACTCTCAGTATGAACCAGATTGCTTCTGGTCACTCCCAGTAGGAACCCAGTCAATTCCAGTCACTCCCAGTATGGTTCCAGTCACTCTCAGTATGATCTCAGTATGATTCCAGTATGATCCCACTCACTCTCAGTCATTATCAGTATAATCCCAGTTGCCCCCAGCATGGTACGAGTTGCTCACAGTTTGATCCTACTCTCTCCCGGTCACTCCCAGTATGATCCCAGTCGCCCCCAGCATAGTCCTGCTTGCTTCCAGTCACCCCCAATATAATCTCAGGTGCTCCCTCTAGGGTCACATTCAGTTTCAATCACTACCCATATGACCCCAGTATGTTCTCTGTCACTCCTAGAATAATCCCAGTATGATTCCAGTCACTCCCACTCACTCCCACTCACTTCCAATCAGATCACAGTTGCCCCCTGTGTGGTCCTAATTGCTCCCAGTCACTCCCAGTATGGTTTTAATAATCTCCAGTATGATTCCAGTCACTTCCATTATGGTCCCAGTCAGTTGCAGTCACTTCCAGTATGATCCCAGTCACCTGTAATATGATGCCATTTACCCCCAGTGTGGTTGCAGACACTCCCAATATGAACCCATTTTCTTCCAGTCACTAGTAGGATCCCAATTGCCCCCACCTTAGTCCAAGTTGCTCCCAGTCACCCCCAGTGAGGTTTAGGTATTTTTCCAGTCACTTCCAGTATGATCCCAGTCACTTCCAGCTACTCCCAGTAGAATCATAGTCACTCCTGGTTACTCTCAGTATTATGGCAATCACCCCCAGCTTGGTCGAAGTTGCTTCATTCATCCCAATCAGTCACCCCCAGTATTATCCCAGTCAATTCCTGTCACTCCCAGAGTGATTCCATTATGATCCCAACCACTCCCAATATGATCCTGGTCTCTTCCTCTATGGTCTCAGGCAGTTCCAGTCACTCCCACTAAGGTTCATGTAAGTTCCACTCACACCCAGTATGATTCCAGTCTGATCTCAGTCATTCCTTCTATGGTCTTAGGCAGTTCCAGTCACTCCCAGTATCATTGATTCCACTGTCCTGTTACTGACAAAGATATCAAACAGCACCGATCCCATCCCCCTCCCTTGAGGATGCCCCTTGTCACCAGCCTCCACTCTGCCATTGAGCTGTTGGCTGTGACCTTTTGAGTGTGACCATCCAGCCAATTCCTTATCCACCGAGTGGCCCATCCCTCATATCCATATCTCTCCAGTTTGGAAACCAGGGTGTTGTGCAGACAGTGTCAAATGCTTCGCACAAATCCAAGTGGGTGACATCAGTTGCTCTTCCCCATCCACCCCTGCTGTAACCCTGTTGTGAAAGACACCAAAGTTGTCAGGCTTGATTTGCCCTCAGTGAAGCCATGTTGGCTGTCACCAACCACCTCCTTATTTTCCATGTACCTTAACATGGATTCCAGGAGGATCTGCTCCATGATCTTGCCCAGCACAGAAGTGAGACTGACCAGCCTTGTCCATGATTAAAAATGAAAGGATCCAACTTGACTTCATGTTGTTCCCAAAACAGGTGGGGTGGACACCAGGGACAATGTCACAGATGCAATCAGATCTTCTCCAGGGCCACTGTGGGGCTCTGGGTGCCTCCAGAGCAGTGGAGGAGCTGGAGACCAAGGGTTTGAAAGACCAAAACTGCCCCCCACTGCTCCCAGGATACCTCAATGCCCTCAAGAATTTGATCTGCATGTTGATCTCCTTCTGTCCATCTTCCTGGAGAAGGAGATACATGCCTAAACTTCCATCCTCTCCACACCCTCTCTACAGGTATTTATGGAATTCATGAGGCCCCACAGTGTCTTTCCATTCCAGCACCCTCAGCCTTCTCCAGTCCCAGTCATCATATTGGTGGCCCTTCCCCATGTCTGGTTTAAAGCTCCCTGAGGCGTCTGGCCACCTTACTGGTGATGACCCAGTTGTTCCAGCTGGTCAGGTGAATCCCACCACCTCCCAACAGACCTTCTCAAAAGTGAATCCATAGTCATGGAAGCCCAAACCTTGAGTACGGCACCAACCAAGTGCTCCAGTCCCTTCATAACCATCCACGGACTCTCTCCAGTATGGCCATGTCTCCCCAGGACTGGGAAATGCTGTTCCTGGATCACACAGGTGAAGAGACCCTGGGGGGAAGGTTGAGCTTCTGGCCCATGGTTAATGTCCCTCCCTTGGCCCAAGGCCACCCCTGGGGTCATCGCTTGGGTAATGTCCCCATGGCCAGCCTTGGGGCCGTTGCTTGAGTAATGTCCCCACAGCCACCCCCAGGGCCATCACTTGGGTAATGTCCCCACAGCCATCCCCAGGACTGTCACTTGGGTAATGTCCTGAAGGCCACCCTCAGGACTATCACTTGAGTAACATCCCCACAGCCACCCCCAGCGCCATCACTTGGGTAGTGTCCCCACGACCACAACTGTTGAGATCAGACGTACTGTTGAGATCAGATGTACCGGATGCTGGCTGTTAGCAGTGATCTGATAACACTCCCCTGAGGAAGAAGGATCTGTCACCCACTTGCGCAACAGCCACAGGAGTTGAGACACCCAAAACACACAAAAGAGCAGTTTGCACCCCAGAGCCCCTCACTCCTCTCTGAAGGCGTCTCCTGGACGCCATCTCAGCTCGCCATGGTCAGGTACAAGGTGACAGTGGCCACAGGTGATGTGGCAGAAGCTGGCACCAAGAACTCCATCTCCATCACCTTGGTGGGCAGCCGAGGCGAGAGCCGCAGGACCACTGTCTCCCTCTTGTTCCTGCCGGGACAGGTGGGGATGAGGACACAACGCGTGGCAGAGCTGTCCTGGGGACATGAGAGGTGGCATAGGCTGTCCCAGGGACATAAGGGGTGGCACGAGCTGCCCTGGGGACATGAGGGGCTGCACAGACTCTTCTGGGAATACAAGGAGATGGTGGAAAGGGATTTGGGGGAGGATACTGGGAAAGGGGTCTTGTGGGGATGGGTGGGAAGAAGTCTTGGGAGATGGTGGGAAGGGATCTTTTGAGGGGGGGAATGGAGGAAAGGGGTTCCAGGGGTGTAGAGGAAAAGGATTTGGGGGGGATGGTGGAAGATAAGGATCCTGGAGGGTTGGAAGCAAGGGGATGCTCTGAACCTCTTCTCTGCTGGTGTCCCCTGGTGCCACCCTGGGGCATCTGCCCACTCTTCAGAAGCCATTCCCTCCTCTTCAGGAGAAGAGCCTGTCTGTGGACTGTGGGCAGGACCTGGGCCCTATTGTCCTCATCCGCCTGCACAAGTGGCAGCTCTTCTTGGAGGATGCCTGGTTCTGCAAGGATGTCCGGGTGACAGCCCCTGATGGCACCCTTTACCGCTTCCCCTGCTACCAGTGGCTGGAGGGGGTCACCACGGTGGAGGTGCGGGAGGGCCCAGGTAAGACACGCCTAACCCCCAATCCTCCTCTGACGGCTGGAGGTCCAACCTTGACACCATCTCCTCCTTTCCAGGGAAGAAGCTGGCGGATGATGAGTTGCAGATCCTCAAGGGAACTAGTGGTACGGCAGGAGGCTTTCTGGTGACAGTGGGGACATGGGGACAAGGCCCACTCCCGGGAGTTACCAGATCAGAGCTTCCAGACACTGACTCCCATGAGGCCGATGATGATCATGGCAGCGATGACGGACACAGCCACCAACAGTGGGCTGGAATTCCAGATGGATTCCGGCTCTGGGAAGGGCAGGAATGTGAGGAGGGGGAGGGTTATCACCATCCTACTGCTCCACACTCCCAAATTCCTCCTTCCCAAATGCCCAGTTCCCACATTCCCTGTTCCCATCCTCACCCCAGGCGAAGATCCCGGGCTCCAGCATTCCGGCGTGCTCCACCCGGCACCGGTACTGCTCCCGCTCCCCCGGCAGCGCCTCGATCCTGGTCCAGCTGTGGAAGGTGCCGTCACTGTTGGGAACGATCTCGCCCCACTCCGTCTCCTGATCCCGCAGTTCATCCCCCTTCAGCCAGTTGATCCTGATCATCCCGAGGTAGAATCCGTACGCGTGGCAGGACAACGTCAGGATCCCGTGTTCCTCTTTCCCAGACACATGGACATCGGGGGATCTGGAATGGGATAACGGTGAGATCCATCCATGGAAATCCCATGGGAATGGGACAACGGCGGGATCCATGCATGGAATTCGCATGGGAGTTGGATGACTCAGATTCATCCACGGAATTCCCATGGGAAGTCCCATGTTCCTCAGTTCCACCCTCCCAAATCCCACATTCCCAAATCCCACATTCTCATGGGAATTCTGTCTCCCTCACCTTTGTGCTCCAGCACCTCCCACCCGTATCCGACGAATTTTTGGAGCGCTTCCGGACAGATGTTCTCCAGGTAATGTGTTTTTCTCTCCACCATGATCCCACTGTGTTCCCATTTCCTCTCGGTGATCTGGGTAGCTCCATCGACTGCCACAAAGCTCCTGGATCCCAGCTCAAAGGAGATGAAATCCCGCCCATTGTAGGCTTCCCGACAGGATCCACGGATGCTCCTGTCGGACAGGAGGTCGCAACCATAACACTGCTGCCTTGTGTGGAGACCTGGGGGGTGGGATCAGATCCGTGGAGACACTTGGAGTTGTGTCCTAGCCCCACGGAATCCCATTCCAGCCTATGGAGCCCCAGAGTCCAATCCAGACACGCAGAGCCTCATCCCAGCCCCTTGGAGTCCCATGGATCCCATCCCAGCCTCACAGATCCCATCTCAGCCCCACAGATCCCATCCCATTCCCACACATCCCCCCATTCCCTGGCTCCCCCCAGTCACTCCAGTTGTACCAGCCCCCAACTGTCTCCAGGTTGGCGGCATCAGTGAGCTGATTCCCCTCAGCGATCTGGGTCTGTCCATCCCAATATCCTCTCTTCACTCTGGCTGCCATCCATGGCGTCAGCGGCTCCACCCGGCCCCGCTCGCTGTCGGAGCTGCAGATGGGGATCCCGTACACGTATGCCATGGACAGGTATTGAGGGATCCCTGGGCTGGGCTCTGACACCGTCACATCCAGGTAATGCAGGGAGTGGAGAACTGGGGGGACACGGAGATTTGGGGGGTCCAGAGGGGTCCATGGGTCAAGAAAAGGGGGAACTGGGAGAGCCGAGAAGGGGGTTTGGGGATCCCAGGGAAGATGGTACAGGGGGTGTCAGTGCTGGGGTAAGGGGTGCCAGGGGTCCTATTGCACAGGATTGAGGGTTCAAGGAGGTCCCAGCATCCGGGAAAAGGGGGATACAGGGATTGGAAGAGGAAGAATGGAGGGAGTCCAGGGGGTCCCTCTGCCCAGGAAAGGG